AACGCTCTGCGATGTGGCCACCTACCCTGTGGCCGGCTTCCGTGTGGCAACCGTTTCTCTAGCTGCCTGCTATATGGCCGCTTTCTCTGTGGCCAGCTCTGCAGAATTATTCATGGGCGAATGCAACACTTCAACTTAGTTTCGCATACTTATGCAAACGTCATTTGACCTCTTCCTTCACCTGCTTCAGGACTCCACTTCTGAGTTTTATAACTCGTCCGATCCTGGGAGAGCTCCTTGTGCAACATAGTCTAAAGAACGTCTTGCAAAATTCATTCCAATAAATGATTTGCCGTTTTCTGGAGCTGGAAAGTTCTGATCTGCATGGGACTGGTAAAGATTTCTAGAGTGATTTGGGCTTGCAGAAATTTGGCAAGGGATAGCAAGGTATTCGTCTTGCGCTGCCTAAAAAGTGTGGACGGGGTTAGCTGGGGTTGGCTAGGGGGGACGACTCGAATCAGTATGAGGGTGGTTAGTGCCTTGGTAAAGGTCAGTGAGATGCTGATTGGGGAGTGATTGGGTCTGTTTATAGTTTTCCTAGGGTATGGATTGGGGGAGGGGGTGTAGGCCAAATGCTAACTTGAACCTAGGTGGTACTTGCTGAACATGTCTTAGACCAATCTAAAAGTTGTCGGAGAACTTGTTAAGGAATTATTAAAGTTTGGTAAGGGTTGCATGCAGACTGATTGGTTACTGAAGATTGGATATAGGCTGGCTATAAACTGGCTATAGGCTGGCTATAAACTGGCTATACACTGGCTATAAACTGGTTATAAACTGGCTATAGGCGAGCTATAAACTGGTTATAGGATTTTAGAGACATATTGAGGTGGTTTTCTAGGGTTAAGTATCTGACCTGGGGGGGGGGGATGTGGAACTGAATAGGTACGGTAATCTACTTCTCCTCTCCTCGGTGGCATCATCCACCATGCAGTAACTTTTGTGTTAAGAAAGTTTTCCAACTTTCATTTTGATCTTGTCAAGTTGCAAAAATTACTTTTTACTGCAAGGGAGAAAAAGTTAGTGAGTGACATAACAATGCAATTTTTCATTTCTCTGACTGTTTCACATTGATTTCTACCAATCAACTAGGAGCATTGCAAGGAACAGCAAGTAAAAGGAAAGTAGAGAAAGAACGCTTATATATATATATATATATATATATATATATATATATATATATATATATATATATATATATATATATATATATATATATATATATATATATATATACATATATATATATATATATATATATATATATATATATATATATATATGCAAGGCCCGATATATATATATATATTTTCTTTCTACATATTATAGATATATTATACCTATATTATATTATTATATTATACCTGTGTCCTCCGAATTCCCCGCCACCTGAATGCCCTGAATAGTGTATGAATTCATTTGTTTGAACTCTATTATCGGACATATTGAAAGAACATTTTCGTAATTTCAAGATCAGGGTTTCTAAACAAATTATTTTCATGTAGAAATCCGCTTCCCTTGGCAAACCATTTTACCTCCTTGTTAGGGCACATGCCCGTGAATTAACTATAACTTACAGTCAGAGAATTTAAAATTTTAGCAAAGTCAGCAAATAAAACTAATTTGAGGAGTTATACAAGTTTATATTAATAATTGAGTGACCTTCAACTAAATCCTCTTGATCTTCCAAGGGCTCTTCTTCACGTTGAAATGGGTTGTCGTTTTTTGTTTTTCTTCCCTGTTACCTTTTTTCGTTTCATACCAATTGAATTACATTGAATGTAATTCTTTGATAGAGTAATTTTCTTCTCGAATATATCACCGTTCTCTTTCTCTGAATCATTTAATCATTACAAAGGAAAGTTTCCCTCAAGTACATTGTTTTAAAGAAAGTTTAAGCTTTAATTATTTTTTAAATTTTGTAAAAAATTATGTAAAAAATTATGTATATATAAATTATGTTTATATATATATATATATATATATATATATATATATATATATATATATATATATATATATATATATATATATATATATATATGTATATATATATATATATATATATATATATATATATATATATATATATATATATATATATATATATATATATATATATATATATATATATATATATATATATATATATCGTACCTAGTAGCCAGAACGCACTTCTCGGCCTTCACTTCTCTCGTTTTCATAATCAAGTAAGATAATCCGCATCTAACACAATTTCCTAATAGTCATCGTACATTACAGTCTACTTCGTAACCCAACCTAGAGGAATGGAAAGAAATGAAAGAAACGACGTTTCGGTCCATCCTTGGCCTTTATGAAGTCCGGGACGTACCGAAACGTCGTCACACAAGGGTCCAGAAGGGACGGAAGTGTCATTTTTCAATATTTTCTAATGTATTTATTACGTGTACGTGTGTCCAGTCCCTACTCTCACTAAATACGTCATTTATTTTATGGAATTGACCAGTCCACTTAAAATGCGATGTATTGGTGAAGATTAAGTACCTTACTACAAACATTTTCCATGTATTTACCTCAATAGCTTAAATGGGTTGTTTGGGTTCTGACGTTTTTGACTAGATAACCACAGTTGCATTTTTTTACGGAGTCGCAAATCTTAGTAACAAATTGGTGCGCCAGCCTGTTGCAGCTGCTCATCTTAAATCTGGACACTGAAGCAGCTGGAGTAATAATAGCCTTGCCTGCCATGTATGTTAATCTTCCCCTCGTGATATATTACCATTCCACCATTAATCATCGCAGGAACAGATCAGCCACAAAAATACTTTCCTTTCACTATTCCGCTCGTATTCAAATGATTCTCCAGGAGCATAATTTCGTCTTTCTGGATTTTCTTTTATATCACCAACAGATGAGTGCGTTTCCAGTTCCAAATTTTCATTTTGTGAATTCATTTCCAGATGTTTATATTGTGCATACACTTAAGACCCTTCAGATTGTTGCTCCATACAAACATTCCAGGTGGGGGGTAACTGTCTGTGCCTGGGGTCTATCTTAATCGTTTTAATGGGGTCTATCGGACGACTCGGGGTGGTGTGGGGAGTCCGAGAGGACTCCCCACACCACCCCAAGTCGTCCTGGGTTCTACTCACAGTCCCACCTTCGCTGGTCTAAATGCATTACAAATGCAAACGTCTGTGTACTCGGAGTAAGAAATTCCACATTCGTGGACTTCCTGGAAGGGGTTTTGAGGCTGTGTCCTCCCCGCCCCTTTAAGGGGGGCAGTGGGCCCAGCCCTGCCTCCTCCTCTTCCTCCTCCGATGTCACTACCGATAAATTCACACTTACTCCCACAAAGTTTAATGGAGCTAATTGCAAGTGTCTGGCCGCACACCTCGAACAGCCTTACAGACTGACAGATCTTCTTGTTTATATATATATACAAAGTGTTCGTACTTACCTTTATACAGTGGCTCCACGTACTTCACTTTACACAGTGACTAACTGATTTTCTTAACACAATGACTTAAAGCCCTGCACTTAATAATGGCTCAGTGAACTACAGTTCATAGTTCCAGTGGCTCCACCTTCTACCGTGGCTCTGCGCTCTATACAGTGGCTCCACCAATATCATTCAATGGCGTCACACCACAAGATATCGTGACTGCTCCTGTATATCTATCGCCTCAATTGTGGCATCACCTACAAACACCTCATAATTCAGGTTACATACCTGACCCAAAATACTGTTGATCCTCACTATACAACTCGCACACATCACTATTTACTTCGATGAGTTTATTTTCATATAAACATTTAAAGTTGATGAATTTTAATTGTTTTTAATTTTACGCTGGATTTCACTGTTTCATCAATTCATAACTGCAAATCCATTAAAACAATGAGTGACGATGTACCTCAGCCAGTGGCATGACCTTCACAGCAACAGTTGTGAGTTTCACTTCACCACTCCCAATCATTTATAACATGTCTCACTCCAGACACTTATTACATAAAATACCTTATAAAATAAACAGTATGTGCCCGTGATTTCCCCTGTGTGAAGTACGTTAAATTCTCGACGATTGCCATCCTAATTTTTTAGTATGTAAAATGTGTAAATTGCTCCTGAGGACATTAATTTGGGACATAAAACTGTTTCATTATATGCTCCTGCTCTGCCGTCTTAAGAAGAGGTTATACCCTCTACAACATTCTGGTATTATAAGCTGTATAACACAGCCCTCCACTGTTACAAAGACCCTTCACACAATAACAAGACACTAAGCAGCACAACAAGACGCCTCTCATCCCTTAATGCAACTAAAATATTTAGCCAACCCTCGCATGTTAGTTGAAATGTTTGTGTCAAAGAATCTGGGTAAATTTTAATATTTTAGTTATTAACGTGTTATGTGTCGACATCTTCCTTTCCTACTTGTCAATAACACCCACCCGCGCCGTCAAGCCCCCAAAGAAACGCTTCACACATGTGAAATTGGATTTTTCACTCTGGAACTGGAAAATATTAAAATAGATAAAAAACATGTAATAATGGAAATTGTAATATTTTGTGTGACTGTTTTCTTTACACGATATGTCACGATATATATATATATATATATATATATATATATATATATATATATATATATATATATATATATATATATATATATATATATATATATATTGGTAGCAGTCTTTCTTGTAAACATATGTTGGTAAATATGACCTAAAAAGTAAGATTAATAATTCTAACACGAATTTTCTCAATATTTCTTATGTTTCTTTTTACTGTTGATGGTAATTGAAAACTCAATTCTGAATTGATTATTCATTTCTGAATTGATCCAAAAAATGTTGGAACGAATAAATCACAACGGAAGGACCTTGGTACCAAACATATATACATTTACCCAAAAAAGAGAAATATGTTCTTGACATTGGCCTACAGAAGTCGGATGTGTATACACCTGTGTTTCGCAAGAGAGTAACTGTGTGTTTGACACCTGCAGGTGGAGGGCAGCAACGCCGTGATGGTGGCACTCCAGGACCTGGAACTGCGCTCCTCAGGAACCTACAAGTGTGAGGTGATTACAGAAGCCCCGCTTTTTCACACTAAATTTGGCGAAGGCAATATGACTGTCATTGGTAAGTGTGACTGAGATCTCTTTTCCCCCTCCCTGCCTCTCTAAAATGTGTTCACCCGCTGTCTCTCACGTCTATCACTCTACCTCTCCCATCTGTTACATCCTGCTTACTATATATATCACACGCTGGATCATACCTCGGTCACACCTGCCTCTCACCTCTTCCATGCGCTCTCTCATACATCTGTCACACGTTACCTCTCACACCTGGAACTCTCACTACACATACCTGTTCTTTGCTATACATGTGCCTCATAATCCTTATCAGGTTCCCCTGAACACCCACCTCGTAATACACTTATGCCCAACACCCTACACATCTGCCTGATATCTCACATCTGAGTCTTATTTATCACATGCATTATATATTCCTCACACCTGCCTGTCACTAAAGAAAGGACTGGTAACCACGCTTCTACCAGTTGTTACACACATGACTGCTACTCAGCACTTCCGCCCGTCGCTACACACATGACTCTGGTGTCCCTCAGAGCTGCCGGAGAGCGCGCCAGTGTTGGACGGAGCAAAGATGAGCTACCAGCTTGGGGAGCGTGTTCGTGTGAACTGTACCTCGCTGTTCTCCAAGCCTGCTGCCTCCCTAGAGTGGTACATCAACGACCAGCTTGTGGTAAGTGTACCTGCCTCCCTCGAGTGGTACATCAACGACCAGCTTGTGGGAAGTGTACCTGCCTCCCTAGAGTGGTACATCAACGACCAGCTTGTGGTAAGTGTACCTGCCTCCCTGGAGTGGTATGTCAACGACCAACTTGTAGGAAGTGTACCTGCCTCCCATGTTTGGTAAATGTTGGTCTGCTGATGCTGAAATTCCCCTAAAATTTCTCATAAGGTTTTAATTACTAACTTTCTCTACCTTTTTAATTAATCGATCACCTATACTCACATTATTTCTTTGCATACAGTCGCTACTTACGTTATTTCCAAATGTGTTGGTTAGTTGTCTAATATACTGGGATTTAGCTAGGTTTTCTAAAGGTTTAATATCCATTCAAAGTTATATTCGTGGAAATCCACAAAACCCTGAATCAGAAATATTTGATTTTGATTTTCTTCCATGTTCTCACAGCTGGAGGTTCTTGAAAAGAATAGAAACCTATAATATAACAATACTTTAGGAAATGACCACTTAAGGACTACAAATCTTACAGCTATGATTAAATATCATAATTTTCTTGTCTTAGAATCGATGCATGAATTCTCTTGCAATTGATTAGGAATATATAATTAGTATATTTGCAGAGAGCGAGTCTCAGACAGTCAACATCTCGTCAAGGCCATTTGTCCGCGGAAATTGGCTTGAAGCTTCATAGGAAACCAGGAGAGACCACTGCACCAGAAACTGTTGCAATATAAACTACTGTAACATAAACTATTGCAACGTAAACTATTGCAACGTAAACTATTTGTCTGTCACAAGATGTGTTTGGGTGGAGGGTAGAGGCGGTTGTAATACATAATAGATTATGGGATTACTAATACAATAATATGCTGTTATTAACTCTTTTTGTCAGAAAATATTCAATTTCATATAAAAGAAAAATCATAGTTATGATAAGGTTTAATGGTTGATGGTTCCATTTACCGGTGATGTGGTTCAAGATTTCTTATGCAGGTTTAGCGACTCAAAGTTCCATTCATAGGTGTAGCGACTTAAAATTTCATTCACTGTTGTAGTGGTTCAAGGTTTCATTCACAGGCGCTGTCGTTCAAGGTTCATTCTACATCTGTAACAACTCAAATTTCCATTCACTGTTGTTGAAATTAAAAGTCCCACAAGGAGTTGTAGTAGTTTGAAGGAACTCACGACAGTGAACTTGGCAAACTCACTATTAAACCGGTTTGGAGGTTTGTCATAAAAGTGAAGAGGTTTGTAGTTCAATAAAGAGGAACAGCAGTTCACAGCTGTCTAAGGCAGGCGCAGAGGTTCTCAAGTGTCCCACGCAAGTGTAGCGATGAGCAGATTTCTAACTAAAGTGCAGCAACTTAATTACAGGTGTCCAATGCAGAGACAGCGACTCACAGGTGCGTCCTCAGAGGCAACATCACACCTCTTGATGGCGGTGTCCTATCAGCGACGCTCAACACTACAAAGGGATCACGTAAATGGTTTGGCTTTCCGCTTGGCGAGTGACAATAGCAGGGAGAGCGAGGGAGAGCGTTGATGTCGGGGATTAGAGAGGCGTCTATCACGGCAGTCTGAGCCACCATCTACCTGATTCCTCACCCGTGAATCACCTGATCATTCACACAGAATTCAACTGCTCGAATCTATACTCAGGACTCGCCTAAATAATTTGCTTGACTCACCTGACCTCTTATCCAAGATTTATCCTGATTTTTCTCCCAGGACTAACCTGATTCCTGACCCAGGACTCACCTAATCTCTCACCCATAACTCACCTCATTCCTCTCCTAGGCCTGACCTTATCCCTCATCCAAAACCTTCCTACACCCACGAGAAGGTCGTGAACTAAACGCATCACAGATGTACCCGTAAAGGTAAACATGTACTCGGGGAAGGTTTCAAGTAGATGATAATTGGAGTATAAGACGTAAGTCTCCACCAAATAATAAAGTTACCAGGTTGGTGTAAGTCGAGAGAAGAACTACATGATGGAGGATGCGGTATCTTATAAAAATTGGTAAGAGTTTCTGTCTCCTGCTCGTGGGGGTCAGTGGTTCGAGTCTCCTAGAGTCCAGGTGAGTGATAGGTTGTATCTTCATCTATCTAGGGTAATGGAAATAATAAAGAAACTTTATGTTATCACAGAATTGGATACCTCTGTTGGCTACATGTAATTAGTGTACAAGCAAATTCATTCAGCTTTATTAACTGGGTTGTTGGAGATTATGATACAATGTTAATGTAAATAGTAATCCTTAGGTTTTCTTCAAGATGACCAAACTGAATGATGTCCTTCAGTGAACACGCCAGGAAGGCAGAAAGCCAGCCTCTGTGAGGAAGACTGTAATACCCGCTGCAATGCTACTATTTCATTACCATGCCACAATACATTCAAATGATGCAATAAAAACAATAAAAACAAAAATAAAACAATTGAGAAGCTGCAAGAAAGAGACGAGTTGAATCTCAAATGACTACATTTCTGATCACAGAGAATGAAATTTCAGATTCAATTTGAACTTCAGCCTTTTCGCCATCGTGATTGGCAATACACACGCAAGCTTCATGATCAACTGCTTTGCAACTCCAATGAAATTCAAAACCTTGTTTTTTTAATTTTGTCAATGCTGTAGATTCTGAATTGACTCTTTTTGATACTTTTTTAGTCACTTTCTGCAACAGTTTCCCAATGTGTTGCAGCCTGTTGTGGGTGACTTACGAGTGTTGTTTGTGAATATGACAGATGTCTTACGTGCAGCAATAACAATTGTGTTATAAAAGCTGAATTGTGTCTTCAGCTTTTGATGATTTGTTTACTAAAGTATCATAATGTTTATACCGCTGTGTCAATATTTGATGTACCGCATGGCTGTTACATCCATGTTGTTCCCTCATTTAAAACCTCGCACTCATCACTCGAGACAGAAAGCAGGCATTTAATTTTTAGTTTGTGATTAATTTCGTGTTTTCCTTCAGATATGATATATCGCGACAAATTTAATTTCTACGAACTTTCGAAATAGGTTATCAGGCATTTAACAAATGCAAACAGCGTGAGCTGAGTAAATTAGTTTACCTGTGTGCACATTCTATTTGGTGCTGACTTCCCCCGGAAAAAGACCCACACACACACACTGCTCCAGCATAGTGTGTTTAAAAGACTTCGATTTACAAACATTGTGAGGAGCCTAGCCAACAAATTTTATGTAGAAGCCTGGCCCTATAAACCTTATGTAGAAGACTGGCCCTATAAACATTATGTAGAAGCCTGGCCCTATAAACTATATGTAGGTGTTTGGCCCTACAAACGTTATGTAGGAGCCTGGGCCTACAAACACTTTGTATGAGCCTGGCCCTACAAATATTGTATAAGACCCTGGATCAACAAACATTGTGTAAGATTCAAATTCGTCCAGGGACGCAAGTTCGAGCCACGCATAACCTGAGTATTTTCTCACAGCCATCTTGTCTTCTTGTGAAAGCAATGTGCCGTGAAAATCCTGATTGTTTCTCCCGGCAGACTCAGCCACGATTCCTGAAGCGATACAAGCCCCACAAGGAGCCGGACGGCCTAGAGACAGCCGTGCTGGGCCTCACCTTCGTCACCAGCCGCGCTCACTTTCCCTCGGGTAAGATGCGGCTCAAGTGCGTCGCCAAGATTGCCACCGTCTACTACCAGTCACAGGAGACTTCGGTCATCGAGACTGGTTTCCTCCCCCGCACTCAGGCTGAGGAACATCGCCACGCTGGTCACTCCTACTTCTTCGGTAGGTGGCAAGTATTATATAGTTTCTATATTTATATATTTCTTGCAATATTATGATAACTGAGGGTTGCTGTCTTGCAGTTTTTTTTTCAAAACTCCCAGAAGCATTATTTGATATATATTATTTATTAGTTGCATTGCTCCTTCTATTCTTTCGGTATTTATTGAATGCTCCAGCTTCTGATATTCATGTTATACAACCATCCCATTTTAGCCTTTCATTATTATTATTATATTATACTCTAGTCCTCACTGTCTCTTCTAGTTTCATAATATTCTCCTTGACAGTCATGTAGTCATAATATTACCTCCTAATTTACCTACCTTGTAATTATGTTCCATCTAGTACAGTTCTGTAACTGTAGGATTATTGTACTGCCTTACAGTACCTTAATAGTTATGTTGATCCTCCTGTATCATGTTTGTACTGTTATGATGCTTCGCCTTCCCATCTTAATCTTTCTTCTTTATGCATCTCTTTCATGAGTTCCTCTTCGTTCTTGAAGATCCTCCTCCGTCTCGCGTGTCCCTCATCCTTTCTGGTGCTCTTCCTGCTCAACCTTCCCGGGTTATTTTTCCTTTTTGATGCTCTTCCTCCTCCTCGTGTTCCTCTTCCTTTTTGATGCATTTTCTCCTGGTGCTCCCTCCTCCTCCTCCTTCTAGTTTTTCTATATAATATTCATATTCTTCCTTCACCTAGTTCTCAATGAAAGTTTTCATCATACTCATCATTACCATGAAGTTTAATAATGATCTCATTCATGGAGTTGAGTACCGTTCTTTTTCCTGCCTTGGTATTCTTCAGGGAGTATAAAACTTCTCTAAGTCACTGTTTCTCCTGCTTCTCATATAGTGCTATTAGGTGTCCCTGTTAGTAATGCCTTCCCCATAGAATTATCCCTGCCCTCCCTATAGTGTTGTAATGTGTCGCTGTTTCTCCTGCCTTTACTGTAATGTTGTTATGTGTCTCATTACTCCTGCCTTTCTCAAAGCATTATAATGTTTTAAAGAAGGCAGTCTATTACCCCTGCCCTCCTTGTAGTGTTATAATGTGCTTCTCTCCGTGCTGCTCCTACAGGTAGTGGCACCAGCAGTAATGGCGTAGCGTGGCTGCTGCTGTTCCTGGGTGCTCTCCTCAACACCTAGACTGCTGGTCCTGATCGTCTGTTGAAGTGGTTGTGCGAACGCCATTCTTGCTGTGGGGACGCCGGCAATGCTCCAGAGAACGATGCAACACATTTCATACGTTTGAGAGTACAGGGAAAATGCTTTTGTCTGTTATGTAACAAATACGCTTATATGAAATGGGTTGTCGAATGAGTTCTTGTTCACATTTGAATGCGTTCAAAACAGCTGTATAAAGTGACTAAATACGAACTTCATACTTATTATAATGCCTCTGGACAAATAGAACTCCAAAGCTGAATTCGAACCCTTAGTTATGTTTCAGTTTCCATTTTCTGTGAAAGAATATGGTAGAGAGTTTCTTCTTTAACTGTATATCTGTATTTGGAGATGTAAATATTCACCCGAATCATATACTTGTACGATTAGTACAAGTTTGTGGCTTGTTTAGCCACTTATGAATACGTGAACTCCTCAAAGTCTTCTTCACATGAAGACACTCTGGACAATAAGAGGTGTCTTATAAGACATTTCTTTCATGTTTGGAAGGAACACATCGGAAACATTTTTACGTCCAAAGAAACAATTATATATTGGAGCAGGAAGAACTGATAATTGCTGAAGGAAATATAGTGTACAGTTTACCATAGAAGTCATCGCTTACCATTGGGTAGTCACTTAACTGTGACAGATGGTCGTTTGGCTGATGGGTCTAGACGCTGTTAACAGGTGAGGAGTTGATAGTAAAACAGGCAGGAATAATTTAAGATCCTTGTTAGTCGACAGGACAGATTCCAGAGCATCTTATGTAGATGTTTTTTACTAACCTTTAATCTGTGTTCATGGGCATTACATAGCAGCTGTACACTTATGCAACACAACATTACATAGCTCATTTCTAAGAATGTAACATAGGCATTAGGAAGCTGTTCTAAACATACGTAACATGGAAATTACATAGCTGACAGAAGTAGTGTATAATTAATAATCATTTAAGATTCGAGTGATAAAATAATGGTGCAATATCAATTTGAACACTGTACGCCATGTAGTGAGTCTCCTTAGGATACAATAGGAACTTAAAGACTGTATCACTCTAATAATTGACTTACATAATTAATGTTGGAATGTCCTTTGTGTGTAAGCATACGAAACTGCACAATGATTAAGTGAATCAAAAGGCAATAAAATAACTCCACTGAGCATCGAAACAGTTCACGTAGGCTAATGCATATATCCTGCTGTCACAGAATCCAATAGTAACTAGCCAATTAGCTCTTTTGCCAAGAGAGTATATTGAACACTGCTTTAGTGATTTGTGGGAAAATATTTCGTCCAATTCATACGTGAAGGTTCTCCTGAGCTACAGAGTAATGCAGAATTGTTAAGGCTCCCCAGTGTTGTGGAGGGAGTTCCTCGCCTTGTGGAAGACTCTAGCACCGTCATGAGGCAGTGTGGAAGATTCTAGCACCGTCAAGAGGCAGTGTGGAAGACTCTAGCACCGTCAAGAGGCAGTGTGGAAGACGCTAACACCACCAAGCGGACACAGTCACAAGCTATGTAAGTCTCACATAATCGTTCCGTGTAAGGCGTGTGTGTATTTATTTACCATGTAGTATAGAGATAACTAGCAAGAGATAAATAGAAATGATGATAACTTATGTTATAAGTTAGGGTTTTAGAAGTTCCTTGTTAAATAACACTACAACTAATAGCAGTCCTTGTGTTCATGCTTGCTCCTTTAGACCGTAAAGAAGCCAATCTAGCTGTAACATTGTAGTAGCGTGCGCACACACACACTCATTTACTCATTTACGTTAATGGCCTAACTACGGAGGTGGAGTTCTAAATGTTCGTTTGGGCATGTGATTCAAAATTAATAGTAAGAGTCGAGACACTTGAAGGTTGTAAAATACTGCAAGATGAACAAGACTAGCAGAAAAGTTGGTCTCAAAAATGGTTAATGGAATTCAACGGCAGGAAATGTAAGGTAATTAAATGGGAACAGGGGGGGGGGGCTGGAGACAAGCAGGATGGGGTGTGTGTGTGTGTGTGTTTGTGTGTGTGTGTGTGTGTGTGTGTGTGTGTGTGTGTGTGTGTGTGTGTGTGTGTGTGTGTGTGTGTGTGTGTGTGTGTGTGTGTATGTATGTATGTATGTGTGTATGTATGTTCGTGTTCGCGTAAATCCCGAGATACGGTGTAATGACTAATTAGTATAACTAAGAAATAAATAGAATTAGAAATATAAATATTAAATAACAAGCTCCTTATTTCCAAAACATTCTTGGAAATCAGGTAAACCTTGGGAATCAGGTAAAGGTAAACCTTGGAAGGCGTGAATGAACATAAATGTCTAAAAAAAATATAGGAATATACTAAAAAATGACAACGATCATTTATCACTTGGAATCACAAAATTGAAGACTGTATTTATTTTGTTATTGATGAAAGGTGTTGATTAATTTTTGAGACATGCGTTAGCAGGCAGAAATTATAAGGCTGTTTCTGTTGTTGCTGCTGCTAGTTTGTTGAAGGAGCTGTTGCTACAGCTTTAGTAAAAGCAGTCCTTGTGCATTGTTATTCTACCACCTCATGTATTAAACTGCGGCTGTCCAACTAGAGTTCAACAACAGGCTAGCCCCCCTTGATTAAGGCTCGGATAAGTTGTCCACACATAATATTACAACCGGCAAGCCCTCTGTATTAAGGTCTGAATAAACTGTTCACAAACTTTTTGTCGCTATATTTTTTTTAATTTATAATTTTTATAGGTATCACCTGTGTATTGTGAGTCGTCTTGTTTGCTGTATTATTGTCTGTGAAACAAATAAAGTCTATCGAAGTTTATAATTATTTCTTTAACCTTTATTGACAGATAAGGAAAGATCCAATCAAGTCAAATGTAAATTATACATAGTACACGATTGCTAAAATATCTTGTTATAACGTCATATATCTCCACCCACTGATCATACTAGTCACCATGATCTCTGAAAGTGTCGTCGACAGATATGACGCAAAGCTTCAGCCAGGTATTACATTAAACAAAAATATACGCAAAATAGACATACAAAATAAAAGCAACCTCATCACATAAACATATACAACCTAAGATGAATAAGATATTCCATGGCAGTTCATTATGCTGGTTGTGGGTGAGTATGATTCAGAGAAGACTGAATAGTGTTATGATGGATTATGGTACTAGAACAAGTCATTAACTAATGTATTGATGCGTAGGTGAATTGCTTAATTCTGACTGTTTTCAAGCCTTATGCCAGGTGCTGATGGAATCCCATTAAGTTGTTTATATAACTTGCTCGACCCTTAACAAGAACACAGACACATATTCTGACGTCGAGAATATAAGAAAAGGGAAAATCCGTAGTAGCCTTGATGAGGGTTCGAACCTATACAGTGTGTCTCCTCATGTACACGTTCTAGCGACTAAACCACTACATAGTAAAAAGGATTGCAACGTGGAGTTATACCGAACACTCGAGGGTTTCCTGGGGCTTTTACTGAAGCCGGGACAGCATTTGTACACAATCCCCCCCCCCCAATGCACTCTGGCTTTGTCATTTAGGAATGTTCTACCTCTGACTCTCCTCTTTAGTACACAGAGAGTAATCACACTAACGTGACTACATCAATGAGAAAATCCGTAGTTGTCCTCATCACGGCTACTGTGGATTTTCTCACTGATGCAGTCACGTTAGTGTGATTACTCTATGTGTATAAGCAAATGGTTGCTGAAATGTCAAATGAGCATCATATCAAAACAGCGGGATATAGCGCTTGAAAGCCAGTTAGAATAATATCACAATTAGACCCATTCTGTTTGACATCATAATCAAACGCAAGCATACACTGATAGCATAATCCAACCATGCTCAGTGGCATCACAATCAAACCCAATTACAGTATCGTCAAATGCAGTAAGAGAGTGGCAACATATTCAGCTCTAAGCCATATCCACAGACCACCCCTACCCCTTACCCCTTTCCCTATCATGCTCATATTACTACCCCTACCCCTTTGCTATCTCGTTCATCGTACTCTTTACCCATCTCTCCTTTCCTACCATGCCCATTCTTCTCCCTACCTCTCCCCCGTTTCCTATGATGCTAATACTAGTCAATATATCCATTATCCACCTTTTCATATCATGCCCATTCTACTCCCTACACTTTTCTTAAGTCTTCAAACCGTCTACAACTCAAATTCAAGTAAATAACCAACTGAGAACGAATTGAACAATATATATATATATATATATATATATATATATATATATATATATGTGTGTGTGTGTAATATCACAATACGACAAAATTGCATATTCTTTAGTAATAATATTGTTGCCTACAACAGTTATTTAGAAAATACTGTGAGAGCGAATGCACTGGAACATGTCTGACGAGCCTAAGCGATACTGAAATTACTAAATGTTCCAAGATGCTGTGAAAATCTGAAGTTATTAACCTCCGCAGTGACCTCGTATTGTGGTTGTCTTCGAAACCTTAAAACCCTCAGATATTACAACCAAAATATCTTAAATAAATTTAAGGGGTTCTTCACCAAATACCGCTGCACCAATAGACAGCTTCGATTAGAAATACCACCTTTGTCCGTGGTTTTGGACAACAAAGGTGAATTATTCCTCTGATGTCGACAAACGAGATTCTTAAATTTCTTAACCCTGTTGAATTTACTGATTCTCCGTCTCTGGTGAATCTATCACTGGCACGGGGTCGAGTCTGGGCAGATGACTCGCTTGCAAAGCAGCTGATGCACTTCAAACACTTCGTGACTCCGGAAATGCATTGCGTATTCAATATCAAATACATGTCGTACTAGAAGGTTTCAAACTCCAATCCTTCACATAAAAAAATAAAGGAAGTGACGACGTTTCGGCCCATCTTGGACCAATATTAACTCGTGTTAAAACGATATCTGCATCTGAATGTTCTTGTTTCAGATGCTAATTTGAATAAATTGTTAATGTTTTGGATTTATGTTTCTTGCCAGGTCTTATCTGAAAAGCTATGTCTAAGAAACGTACCCACTGCACGTCTATCATTCTAAATATTTCTTATAACTGTAACACTCGTGTCGTGCCTCTTAATATAAACGTTTTACACATACTTATTCCATCTCTCTGCCAAAGGCAAAGTTTAAGAAGTTCCTTAGAAGTCACTGAAGGTCCTAGGAGGATCGCTCCTCCCCTGGGTCTAACCTTATTACTCATCATATGTCATGTTGGTTTCAGAACCCATCATTGCCGGCTGGCTCTGATGGGTGGATTCAACAAGTCAGCCTGAAGGCAAAACGAAATGACACACACACTCACGACCCCAACCAACCAATTACAGATAACACCCACTTATCACCCTATTCTGTCAATAAGAATGGAGCACCATGTCACCTTGTCCTCGTGACGTGATAGGCTCACCTTGTCCTCGTGACGTGATAGCCTCACTTTGTCCTCGGGACGTGATAGGCTCACCTCTCAGCACGCCAGTATAGACTATATTTTGGTATTTTGATTGTATTTACTACCTTTTGCCTCTGTGACTCCCAAGTTGAATTTTACAAATAGTATTAGGCGCAACGAGTGTAAAATGAACATTTAACAGTTAAACGTTCAACTTCATTTATATATAAATACTTGAACTAGCATTAGCAAGCCTATTATTTTTTAATTCTAACGTTTGTAAGGCAGGGCTTCAATAATTCAGTAATTAAAATAATCAACATACCGAAGTGTAACAATTTCATTAAGTACAGACAAGTTTAGCTCAGAGATGGAAAACAAAGAGAAGCGCTCTGGTTATGAGATTAAACATGTCTTGCCTACTAGCATAATTCAGCAGTGTATTTTGGGCTATCATGAAGTGATATATACATGCAAAAACATGAATGTGGGGATATCATCTAACATCACCTCACCTTCAAAGAACCACTGAAGCTTTGGAAGGAGTGAGTCTCCGGGAGCATCGTTCTCTGGTCTGAGATAGAGAGCTCCAAGAGGTGGAACGGGGCTCTCGCGGGAGTCGATGTCAGTGCGGCAGGTGTTCTCATCAAAGACACAGACTACCCCACAGGGACGACTTCTCCACTCTCTACAAATGAGAGGGAGAGCAGCACCTGCCTTCTGCTGGCCGGGAACACCACCTCTCACACGCTCTTTCGTCTCCTTCCCTTTATCCTCTCTCTCACTTTCGTGAAAGTTTCTTATTTGTGAACGTAATTGTCATGTGATTCCTTTCCCACTAGTTAGGGCTCTTACTATCCTTCATGATGTGTTCACGTGATAAGTATGGAACTGCTGTTAGTGCAGCTGCAAATTCTTAAAATTAGTTTTCTTTAAACTTATATAATTAGTTAGATAAAATTCTTTAGAACTGGTTTTTAATAATTTGTTTAAGTTTTAAACCAATTCATAAAATTGGTTTACTTAAAACTGGTATAATTGGTTAGATGCAATTATAATCGGTTAGCTATAAAGTTTCATAACTGGTTAGCTCCGAATTGTTATAATTGGATAGTTTTACATGTAATGCCTTCCCCATAGTATTGTCCCTGCCCTCCCTGTAGTGTTGTAATGTCTCGCTATTTCTCCTGCCTTTACTGGAATGTTGTTATTTGTCACATTACTCCTGCCTTCCTCAAAGCAGGAGTAATTGTTTACCCTTTTTAACCTTTTTAACTGGTTTACCTTTTGCCATTTATATATTTAATAATATAAATCACACAGTATCTGGAATTAGCGCATATAATTTAGATAATTTAAATGCTTCTCTCTGCCAATAATAAACGCGATATTTTATACAACAGGCAATTGTACGCAACACTAAACCAGCCTCTAATCTATTAAATCTAATTAATAGAAAATGTGATATTTGGTTAAATGGTCTCTAGTTAAAATGTTTATTTCAAAAGACTACGATACTGTCAACCCCACGAAACTGTCAAAATCACGATACTGTCAACACCACGATTCTGACAACCATCTTCCTTAAAATACCTACAATACTGGAAGAGAACCAGCAGCAGCACTAGGAGCAGTAGTGATACATGGAGCAGCTGTTAAGCTGTCATCGTTGTTGTGTGGAATTAAAACTTCCCCATTGACTAATTTTCCATTTAGGTTTACAATAATGTTTCGCCCGTCACAGCTGTGGTTGTCCATTCACTGGTAAGCTCTCTCTCTCTCTCTCTCTCTCTCTGTCTCTCTCTCTGTATCTCTCTTTGTCTCTGTCTATTCCTCTGTCTCTGTCTGTCTGTAAGTCTGTCTGTCTGTCTGTCTGTCTGTCTGTCTGTCTGTCTGTCTGTCTGTCTGTCTGTCTGTCTGTCTCTCTCTCTCTCTCTCTCTCCCTCTCTCTTCTCTCTCCCTCTCTTTCTCTCTGTCTGTCTGTCTCTCTCTGAGCCTCAGCTGTTCATGGGACTCCCAAATTAATTCATCATGGTAAAATTATTTCCCTCGTCTCCTGTCGCTCAAGAAATTAATTTCCTCCACCTCAGCATCAAACATCCTTCGCTTTGAAAACTAAACGTAAAACATCTCAAGTGGCAGCATATTTCAAGCATGTTTTTCTTGATGCTTAATTTACCTGTATAAAAGCTGATATTACGACGAAGGAATGAAAAATGCCGCGCTCAAGGTACACAAAAAATGGAAGTAATCATCCTCGCAGAAGCAATATTTGATGACTTCAAAAGTGCAGAGACGAGTCCTCTTGTCGGCTACGCTGATGATTCCACTGAGATGCCTTCAATAGGTGGTGTAGAGATTAGTGGTCATGCTGTACCGAAGCGGTGCTGTGTCGGGGATGGTGCTGTAC